TCTCTCTCTCTCTCTCTCTCTCTCTCTCTCTCTCTCTCTCCCCCTCACATACTTCAATTCTTACTGAATTTCAATTTCTTTAACGTTGGTGGGCTATCGTGCAGTGACTCTATCGAAGACGAAGAAGAAGGGAAGGGAGCATAAAGAAAATGTAGTGAGCTCGATACGAGATGCTGCAGAGAAGTACGAATCAGCGTACGTTTTCAGTTTTGAGAACATGAGGAATCTCAAGTTCAAGGAGTTCAGGGAGCGGCTCAAGTCTTCAAGCAGGTTAGGCAGCTAATTATCGGTTGAGATTTTGTTTGAGCTGATGTGCGCTTGTTTAAGCTAATCCCAAGTACAACAAACACCTTCTACGACAGTACCACCTTCACCATTAGCCTTGCAGCTACGAGATTCATAAAAAAAAAAAATGTAGCAGAAAATCTTGTAAATTTAAATTTAGACACGAGCTGTTAGTTTGGAGAGAGCTTGCTATATCGCTAAATTGTTGTTAGTTTTTCTAGGAATTCATCAGTTTGCTTGACAATTACTCTTAGAATCTGGACATGCGGTTTTGTTGTTCCTTTTTTCAATTACTAGGCTCTTTAAGTTTTCTCGTAAATAGATAATTAAAGTGGGTAGATTTCACATCCGCTTAGTATATACATTTTCAAATTTTGCCCTTCTGGGTCATTTGATCTTATAGGGTATAAGCCCTTAAAATTCTGTAAAACCCGAGCTAGATACCATTTCGATTCTTCAATTTTTGGTGTTGTACTGTTGTGCAATATTTGCCGTGTTGATCCTCTAGATGCTTTGGTTCTTAGTTTAGAAGGTTGGGTAACTGCATCAAACTGATTAATTTTGTATTCTATTTGGCCTAGATTTTTTCTAGGGTCAAATAAGGTTATGCAGATTGCATTGGGTAGGTCTGTTGCTGATGAGATCAAACCGCGCCTTCACAAGGTCTCAAAGGTACGAATACAGTGGGTTTCTCAGGCATGCTAACTTTATATCTCTCTTTGTCGTCATTTCTATCTTCAAGTATGTACACTTTCCATCTATGCATGTTGTGATGACATGTCAGTATAATCTCACAATTTTTTTTTTTTCTTTTTTTTAATAATTTAGCTTCTCCGCGGAGATTCAGGACTTTGTTTCACTAGTTTGCCTAAAGAAGATATTCAAAGGTATGTTTTTAAATTGTTATTCATAATCTGTGCTGACAGGAAATGTTATATCTGAAGAACTGAAGTTCACTTAGGGCGTGTTTGTATGCAAATATTGGTTAGTTGTTAGTGTTATTTTGATTTTATATTAAAATAATATTTAACATAAAATAATTAAAGTTGATTTGGTTCAAAGGTAGAAGAGAGATGATGTTGATTGTTAGTTAAAATTATCTGTGTGAATGAATAGTAAATTAAAATTTGATGTGATGTGTGAAATGATTGGTTAGTATTATTTAATTATATAGATAATATTGAGGATAGTGGAATTTGGTTAAAGTTAAGTATGAATTGAGTATGGATTGGGTTTTTTCATGTACAAACACACCCTTACACTTCTTGATTTATATGAATACATCTAAGGTAATTAATATTTAAGTGAGCTAAAGTTGGTAAGAAGGTTTGTATCTTAGCTCAGGAAAATGATATCTCAATTGCGTGGTGGATTTCAGTATCAAAATTTTTGAGATGCCATACAAATCTTCACTTTGTAGTAACTTTAAAATTAGAAAAGAATTGCATTTGATGGTCCATATTAACATGTGCATAAATCTTCTGTTGATGTTGTCAGAATATTTGGAGAATATGAAGATTATGACTTTGCTAGGACTGGAAGCACTGCAACTGAAACGGTATTTGAAGATCTTATGCTAATAGTTTGTGTAACCAGATGGAACATAAATTGTTACTTGTTACAAATCATGGACGTTGGAAATAGGCCTTGATCTTGATTAGGGAATTAAGGTGTGCTGTACATGTGTGTGTGGGGTTAGGGGGTGGGTATATTCATATTCATTAATCTGGTTGTTTGGCCATCTGACTTAACTACGATAACTGATAAACTATGATTATAACTTCAGTGAGATTGCATTTCCATTATTTTATTGAGAATTTGATTTCATATTTTTTGGCTTGTGGAAGGTCTATATATATTTGCATGAATTTGAGTGAGAAATATGTAGGTTATAACTGGGATATAGTTTTCTGAGGAAACAAGAAATATGGTAGGGGTTGCTCGTCATTAATTTAGAGGTCATTGAGATGAGATGGTGATGCAGGTTGATGAATGTCTACAGAAGTAGCTAACCTCTTCCCAATGCGGCATGACTCAAATGTGAACCTTACCGGTGGCATCTAGGAAAATAATATCTAATATTTATCATGTTGTTTGATTCTTAAGGTGGAGCTGCAAGAAGGTCCTCTGGATCAATTCACACATGAATTGGAACCATTCTTGCGCAAGCAGGGAATGCCTGTTCGGTTAAACAAAGGTATGTCCTTGGTCTATTTTATTTTTCTGCATTGTTTTCTGTCCTTGGTATTTTTGTATATTGACCATACAAATCTTTGTGTAGGGGTCGTGGAGCTCGTATCAGACTTTGTTGTATGTGAAGAAGGAAAACCATTGTCACCTGAGTCAGCCCGCATCCTGGTTAGTTTATGACTATAAATTTTACATACAATCTCATAATGTTATGACTTACTAAATATATGCTGAATAATGTGTCTTCTAGTCAAATTTATAAAGATATGGTGTTTGCACTTTTGTTTCTTGTTTTGATTAATATGATTCGATTTGTGATTCATGGCTGCTTGTATCTTTGATTTGCATTTCTGTTTGTTTTTTCCTTTTACTTCTCTCTCTAAAAATAGATTCATTAAATCGTTTAAATTATGGAAATATGGTTCTTGTTGTACAGCGCCTTTTGGGTGTCAAGATGGCTACCTTCAAACTCCATCTGGTATGTAGGTGGAGCTTGGAGGACTTTGAGGTTTACCAAGAAGGGCTGGAAGATTCGGATGTCGAGTCCTCTTAGACTTCCATTACTGTAAAATCTCTACAACACAGATCGAACAAAAGTGGTACAAGGCCCGTTTTCTTCTACCAATTCGACATATTGCTCCTTGCATCCTCAAGTTTTGATGCTACGCGGACTGTAGTAGAAGAGTTGATTATCATTATAGATTCTGTAAAATGAAACGTGTTATTCTAAGGACCTAATAGTGTTCCAGTGTTGGATCTTAAAATTACTTTTTTTTTTTTAGTTTTTTGAGTATTGTGATTTTTGAACGCCAATTTGTTTTCGCTATTCAGATTGAGGGCCTCCTTGGGAAGGTTGTTTTGCAAAGTAACATCCCCAGAACTGTAGGTTTTGGCTTCCTCTTTTCCTCGGTCATAAGAGTAAAGACACTCTGAAAGTACGTGTTTAACCAACTCTGATTTCACATACAGGATCAGATGAAAGTGGCTGGAAACGTTACCTATTGGGCAGTTGCTATAGAAGTTGAATACAAATACTTCCATTTGATGGCATAGACATACTAATGATGGAAAACATACAAATTATCCATAGGTATAAAAGCTGAGGACTATGAACATCTGCAAAATTTACAAAAGATTGAAAAAACTTTCACTTCCACCTTTTTTTTTTTTTTTTTTTTTT